TTTTCTCCTCAGTTCACGAATCTCAACCTCCACCTTCCTTCTCTTCCGTCGATGGCTGCCAGACTTCTCCTCCGTCAATAACTCCAGCCCTCCATCTTCCTTCTCCTGCTTCAATGATCTCCTCCTTCTCTTGCTTTGACGATCTCTTCCTTTTCTTGCTTCGACGACCCTCGACCTCCATCTTCCTTCTCCTCCGTTGCGACTTTGCCCCTCCATCTTCCTTCTCCTCCATCAGAACTTCAACCCTTCATCTTCCTTCTCCTGCTTTGATGACCTCCGACCCTCCAGCTTCTTTCTCTTGTTTCGACGATCTCCAGCCTCTACCTTCCTTCTCCTCTATCAACAACCTTCGTCAACGCCATTCTCCCAGTGTTGTCCTCGCTTCTCAAATTTGTGCGATGAATCTTCTTTTATGAGAAGTTGCGACACTAATTGGGAGGGTGAGACAGAGGCAATAAGTTCAGATGATGAATTGAGAGGGTGAAATGGCAAGTGGGTATTTGAGTCTTTTTACTAGTTTTTTTTTAATCCCAGTCTTATTTTTTTTAATCCCATAACATACCAAACATGATTTTAAAATTTATTCCTACTATCAATCTTAATCCCAATCTCATTCCCATTCCTATTCCCAATACCACAAAATTTAATACTTAATACCAAACAAGGCCTTAGGGTTTGTGGGTACCCTGAACTCAACATTGGGTCATTAACAATACATAATGGCACATTAACAGTAGGGTGATGAGGCAATGCATTTGAAAATTTAAGGACAAAAATGACCCAATGTCAAGTTCAAGATACCTATAAACCTTAAGGGAAAAGTTTAAGGGAAAAAATGATTCTAATCCTTTAATTAAATATGTACAAAAAGGAAAGTAACATTATATGCTCAACTAATAAATGATTTTGATCTACCCCTTATGGCTTTTCAGCTTGCAATAGAACATATTCAAATTGATTCAACCTAGATGAGAATTTTAACTCAAATTACAATGATTTCAACAAATTCAAACAACGATTAAGGGATTCAAATAAGCATTAAATCATAACACAAATCTAAGATTCCAAAAAAAAAAAACAAATTTAACAACAGATTTCAACTTAAATCTCAATTTGCTAGCATGAATAGTGAAGAGTGTTGCGTCAATAGATAAAAAGGAAGGTGGAGCATATTTAAATGTGTTTCACTCTCATCATTGCTTTGATATTTCATCACATATTTTAAGGGATGGGTCTTAGTGGTGCTGAAGAAGGATGAAGAAGTAGAGCTAAAAACTTGGGCCAAGCCCAACGAGTCAACCCGAACCTGCTTGAAAAATTTAGGACCAAGCCAAAAAAATTAATTTTTAATGTTCATGCCTAAAATTTGGGTCAAGCCTAATTGGGTTCAAACTTGACCCAAACACTCGAATAAAAAAATAATTTTTAAAAAAATTATATAAAATATAATAAATATTAATTAATTCTTTAAATTTTATATCATTTTATACTAAAATACTATATACTCCCTCTATTCAAAAATTTAAGGCATTTTTAACTAAATCTCACGTCTCAATAAAGTAGTTACTTACTTTTTAACTAATCCTATCTTTTCATATTTACTCCTATTAAACACTCTATAATAAATATAAAGTCATTATCAATAAGGACAATGATTACACCTCGAAAGATAAAAAATGCCTTATATTTTTAAAAACTTAACTCCTTAAAAAATACCTTATATTTTTGAACAGAGGGAGTATTTGAGTACATTATTATAGTTATTTTAAAAAAATTAAAAAAATTTATATATTTATTATTTTTTATCAATAAAATATCTCAAAATAATATTTAAAATATAGTTTAATATTAATTTTTATATTTTAAGACCCAATTGTTTTTAAAAAAATTGAGTCCTATATATCATTTGCGTATCAAAAAATATATTTTATATTTTTTATAAAATAAGATAATAAATTTCAAAGTAAAAATAAAATTAAAAATAATTTTAAGAATAAAATTCAGGCATGTACAAATTCTCAACTCTACTATTAGTTAAACAAAATAAATAAAACAATATTTTTGGATAATTATTTAGTTATCGTCCACACCAGACTTGATTAAAAATTAAAAATAAATTAGAGTAAAAATCACTTTTATGTAAGGGTTAAACAATATAAAAAGTTAAAAAAATAATTAAAAAATAGTGTTTCACTCATAATTAAATAATTTTTTATATAATATAATGATGGTTATTTTTCTCATATTTTTAAAAATAAAAATTATAATTTACCTAAAAGTTATTAAAAAATTTAAACTGTTTGGGACAATAATTTAAGTTAGTAGTCTAATTGTAATTAAATTGAGATCAACTTGATCATAATTAAAATAATTTAATTTAATTAAAATATATAAAATATTTATATATGACCATGATAAAAGCAATATTTAAATAGCTAAGACATTAATTTATAAGTAAAGAAAATATCCATGAATAAATTATACATAATACAACAAAACAGTAATAGAGTTACTTAATTATAAAGTTGATAAGTTGTTATTTTTATTTTATTTTTTTGAAGTTAAAATAATATTTTATACTTAATAGAATTATTTAAAAATTAAAATTGGTTTAAAATAAAGAAAAAATATTTTTTAAAAGTTTTGAATATTTAAATCGGCTCAAATAAACCTGAATCCCAAAGGTGTTAATGCCATACTTTATTATATGATCTTTTTAAACGGGATAAAATACTTTAAATTTAATTTAAATAAGCTCACGCTCCTGAATTATTGGCTGAAGAAGTGTAGGGGGAAGAAAACCAAAGACGTGGCAATGAAAAAGAAAAAATTTCAGGCTTGCGTATGGCATTAATGTGTGGGGCCCATCTGGCATGTGGCTGGCCAACATAGCACTTCACCATTAAACTAATGGTCAATGCTTGAATATGTTAACCATGTGACATTACACCGTTTCTAAAAACATCAAGGTGATATTGCAATATTAAATATTTTAGGATATCAATTATGTTTCATTAGATACTTTCTGAGTAAATTTATACTTTAACACAAAATAGTTTTATGGTAAAATTATAGTAAGACTTTAATTTGTTTCATGGTAATATATTGATAATTCCTTTTAAACAAGAACAAGAATATTGATGTACGGAATGAGCCTTCCGTCCCAATAACAAAGGAAACCATAGACGCCTGCCGGACGGAAACCTTCGATATTCTAGGAATGTTATAATTTTATTGTCTAAGCAAAATGCGCTTCTTTAGTTTTTAATTAATTAGTTACCAATTTTTACTTTTACTTATGTTTTATTTTCATCCAACCCAACAGAAATATAAAAAAAATGTCAATTCTTTTTCGTAAAATGCCAAACATAATCATTGCATTCCATTAAATTCATTCTCATTCTCATTCTCATTTCCATTCAATGGGCCACTGTTCATGGTTACATGATGTTAATATACTATATATATATATATATATATGTACACACATTCCACTACAAACCAAAGGTAAAAATAAATAAATAAACTAAGCCATGATTGCATTGACCTGAACGGAAATTCAATGGCACGCCACCTAGTGACCTTTTTTTTTAAATTTTTTTTTTTACATTTATTTGATATCAAATATAGTCAACAAATCTAAATTTAACCAATGCCGTGTTTAAACATAGGGTTATCTCTTGTGACATATCTTTTTCTTCATCTATAAGATTCAAATTAAAACCTCAACCTTTTTAAGAAATATCAAGTTTTCTTTTACTCAACCATACCATTATTGGAAGATAATGAATTTTTTTTACATGCAGTCCCTAATAGGAGCATAAATGCTAGTGGATAAATTTGCTCCACTCTTTGAAAGGGGTTGACCCACTTTGAGATATGGCATACCAACTAAAATGATCATCATGATTCATTTACCGGTAGTGCTTAGAGAGAAATAAAAAAATAATAAAAACTTTTTTTAAATTTTTAAAAAATGTCCATGGCATCCGGAACCACCCATCCATGGTGGTGGGTGGGAACAGACACTTACACACACACACACACGATTCTTCTAATAGCAACGGATACCAAGTGTTTGTGGGGAGCTGACTTGCTTTGCAAAAATTGAGGCTAATGGGCCATGCCACTACTGCTATTAGTCAACTTGACCTAATCAAGAGTCTAGATACTTTGCACATTTTTGGAGATGAATATGCAAAGGAAAATATTTGATGTAATAAATTATCCAAATTTGATTTGGATGGTTAATTTTTTTCTTTGTTAACTAAAATTATCATTTAAAAAAAAGTATTTTAAAATTTATAATGATTTATATTATGTTTCTTTTGAAATAAAAAATTATTCAAGTAAGAAACATAAGAAAATCAGGATAGTTTAAATGAAATTTAAATTAACATGAGCCAATTGTTTTTCTTTTTTTTTTTCTTTTTGAAATAACATGAGTCAATTGTTAGAGCAACACAATGATTGGCCCATGTATTACTGAGTTTAACAAGCAAGTATAGATCTTATAGACATGGGGTATATATTGGGTCTATTTCTTTTTCTTCCTTATTATTTTCTGAAAATTAAGGTGAACATTGTGTAAAATAAATATATTTATTAACTATTAATTATCTATTATTTTTAAAATTATGTTCTTAATTAAAAAAATTAAAATTAATTTATATTAGATTGTCTAAATCAGAAATAAAAATCTTAGATATAAAAAGTATAATATGGACAGGTAAGTAATATTAAAAACCAGATAGCTGTAATATATAAATACATGTGTAAGAGAGATTTGGCTTATCTAGATGCTTCTCTTTTACAAATAGTTCTATTTATATATGTTCTATATTAAAAAAAAAAAAACTAAAATGGGCACTGAAGTACCATAGGATAATCTATTATTTAATGGCCTGCGACAAAAACCTCAAAGAAAAAGCTTCAAGCTACTTCACATAGTGTAGGGTTGTGTCAATGGGATATCATTATAAATACCAGCTCATCACCACTTATTTTACCTGTCACAAAATCCTCACAACGAGTTCTCTTAAAGAACAGACAGCTTCGAGGTTTTAAAAGCTAGTAAAAGACAGAGGACGGCGTCAGTACAATGTTAGACATGGAGAAAAACATGTCTGAATTAGGTGATCAAGCTGTGGTGGTTGATGAATCTTCTGTAGATTGGAGAGGCAGACCCTGCAAGCCAAACAAACATGGTGGAACGAGTGCTGCTATATTTGTTCTTGGTCTCTTTCTCTCTCACTTTCTCTCACTTTCTGCCTCATGCATCTGTGAATTTTTCATAGCTTTTCTGTGTTCTTTTTTCTTTTGTCTGAAACATGTGGATATATATATATGATTCTCAGGTCTTCAGGCATTTGAGATGATGGCTATTGCTGCTGTTGGGAATAATCTGATAACATACGTGTTCAATGAGATGCATTTTCCACTGTCAAAATCCGCAAATATTGTCACAAACTTCATAGGCACTGTCTTCCTTCTTTCTCTTCTTGGTGGATTTCTCTCTGATTCTTATCTGGGGAGCTTCTTCACTATGCTTATCTTCGGCTTTGTGGAGCTCTGTGTATGTTTTTAATTACTCTCACTTGTAATATTTTCCTCTGGTAAAACAACCTTGTTCATAATCTATTTGCTTCTCAATCTTGTACAAAATAAAGAGTTAAACTATTAATTCAAGGGCATACATATCTTTTTCATTAAATTCTGTTAAAGTTATATGGATATATCTTCTCTATATATTTTCAAAATGAATAATTCTAATTCTAACTTTTGTTGAATTTTATCTAAAGTATGGTGGTCCTTGTGTATGTATTGCAAGGAGTTTAATTTAAGCAATAAGACATACTTTTCATGGATTGTGAAGAGTGTCATGCTATATAAGCTTTATATTTTATATTGACGATATTGAGTGCATGTAACTTTTGTGAAATAAAGGTTAAATTTATAAATGTCCCCTAAATTTTATTAAAATTTACATAAAGATCTGGTTAAAATATACATGTACAACTCTCTCCGAGAAATACAAGGAAGTTCTACTTAATTTTCTTTGGAAAGAATTATATGGAGCTATATTCAATGTTCTCTTTATTTTCTCTGAATGTTTGTGTAGATTTCTTTCAAGGAGGATTTGCTAATAAATGTTCTAAAAAAATACTAAATGAATTCCATGACCAAAATTCAAGAGTTTACACTAACAATAAGGTATTGAAAATGGTTAAGACACTGATTTAAGAGTTAATGATTAAACTATAGTAAAACCATGGTTAAACTAGTCATAAATAAAATATTTTATTACTTCAATCAAGATACCGATTTATCGCTTGAACAGTTTAACTAGGTGAGTTGATCCAGAATTTTATACTATGCTAACAATAATTGTTTAATTTCCCAAACAGGGTTTTGTACTTCTGGCTGTTCAAGCCCATCTTCCAAAGCTAAGGCCACCAAAGTGCAACATGATAGATCAAGGAAAGAGCTTGTGTGAAGAAGCAAAAGGCTACAAGGCTTCAATATTTTTTTTGGCTCTTTACTTAGTGGCTTTGGGAAGTGGTTGTCTGAAACCTAACATAATCTCTCATGGAGCAGATCAGTTCAGGAAAGATGATCCTTCACAGAACAGGAAGCTTTCAACTTTCTTCAACATCGCTTACTTTGCCTTCTGTATGGGAGAGCTTATTGCCCTGACTCTTCTGGTTTGGGTCCAAACCAATTCAGGCATGGATCTCGGGTTCGGAGTCTCGGCTGCTGCCATGGCTGTGGGCTTGATCTGCTTAATCTCTGGGACTATTTCTTATCGGAACAAGCCTCCTCAAGGAAGTATTTTCACGCCTATTGCTCAGGTATGTGTGTGTATGTGTATAAAGTTCATTGTGCAAAACGTTTTCTTATATATAGATGGTATAAGTTGTTGAGTTTCATTATACTAATCGTGATGAGACGAAGTATAATTTAATTTTTTTTTATTATATTTCCATCCTTTCCCATAACTAAATGAGCCCTAAAGTCCATAAGTATACTCTCATATTTTTTTTTTTGTTGAATCTCTACTCTCATATTTTTAATAATACTTTTATAAAATACTAAATCCTAACTATTCAACATTTGGTCCAAGAGTTGAGATGGTAAGAGGAGAGAAAATAAATGAAGAGGAACTAGGTCCCTCTTACACCTAGAAAGATTATATATTTTTAACAGTAAATTTGGACTGTTTAGATTTTGAGCGGTCCAGTTTTAATTTGTAATTACTTTCTTACATTTTAATATTTTTTAATTTCAAAAGATGTTGAATATAATTTAAAAATTATTTTTCATAATTATTAACTGTAATTAAACAATTATTAGTAATAAAATTAAATAATAAATTTACACTTTTTTCATGTTAACTTTGGAATGAATTAAACATGAAAAATCAGGAAGAATTTTTTTGAAATTTTCGTTTTAATATATATTAAACAAGTTAATGTAATTAAAATATTTGCTGACCAAAAAAATTACAATTTCTTGAGTAATAAATGTATATATCATTGAAATTTAATTTAGCATCTTGTTGAATATTCTATGACAGATCTCATTTTAAAAATATCGATGTTTAGTCATGTTGGAATTTACTTTTACCACTGTCGCATATAATAATTTAGAAGTCATTGCAATGCTACGGAACCTTAATTGGCTCCTGTGAAGTCTTCGTTTTCGTCCATAATAAACACAAAAGCTATATATTATATAATTAATTTGGAGCTAATTAATTAATCTAATTTTGGGGAGGAGAGTGAGACAAACTGTCTTTTGCGGATTTATATGCTTCTGATTTTCTCTTTGCTTTTCTTTTCCATTACACTTTATCAACTTGTCATGCTATTGAAGCTGAAGTTTCCTTTTTGGTCGGCAAAAGTTTTACTGTACAATGAATCAAATTTTGTTTTTTTCATTAGAATATCAAGGATTTGCTTTTTGCTGATTAAAATAGTAACAATTTGCATAATTGTTGAATGTATTTATTTATTTATTGTCTGATCTCAGGTTTTTGTGGCTGCAATAACAAAGAGAAAGCAAATATGCCCTTCAACTACAGACAAGAAGCTTGATGGAAGCCAGACCAGCAAGCCAAATCATGATTCAGCAACTTCAACAACCAATATCAACAATTTTCTTCATGCAGAAAAGTTCAGGTGAGATTCATAATTTTATTTTCATAATTTTCTTCTACAGGGTTAGATTGGAAAGACATTATTCCTATTAAGGCATACTTCCTCCTATTCATATATATTATAAGGGAACTCTAATTATTTTATAAAAATCAATAAGATGTGGTTAACACATTAATTTTGTCTGAAAATAAAATAAAATTTTAATTTTATCTCTAATTAAATAAAAAATTTAATTTTTACACTATTTCTCATGGTTAATGAATTTAAATAGAGATGATATTAAAAATGTAATTAATCCTTATCAAGTGCTTAGTATTAAGAATTAAAGAATTCTTCTGAAAGAGATGCCCTATAATAGGACAAGAGGGAGAATTCTCTTTTAGAAAAGCAAGGAAAAATGTTTTCCTATTTGAAGGATCGTTATTCAATCAAAAGAGAATATTCACTTTCTAATAAAAAGAAATTAAATTAATTAAAGACTCTATGGGAGAGAAAAAGACATAACTAGCGTGTTTAAGTCACTTGCAAATCTCACCCACTTTTCATTTTTCCTTCTTTCCTTTGCAAGTTATATTCACTCACTTTATAAGTCGACAAGAACGTACAATTTAATTGTTTGGAGCACAAATTCAAGATTTATTATTGGCTCTTTTATCATTGAATGGTTTAAATAATAAATTTGTCCCAAAACTATAAGTCTAGAAGTTTATAAACGCTAAATTCATTTTTGATATAATATTCCCCTTCAACATTTTAAAATGGTATAATATGCCCCCTATTATTAATAAATATTAATTTTAATCATTAATAAATAAAAAAATTACAGAAAAGAATATTAGAAATTACAGTAAAGGACCAAGAAAAATTGGTTTGTAATTTTTGAATCCTTTTTGTAACTTTTAAGGCACTCTTTAGCAACTGATCAATTAACGGTTAAAATTAATTTTTGTTAACGATAGAGATGATATTATACCATTTTTAAAAGTTGAAGGAGAACATTATATAAAAAATAAGTTAAAAATCCTAAATACTTTTAAACCTATAGTTTAAATGTTAAATTCTCATTTAACCCTAATTAACTTTGCTGTAATTAAATTAATGTATTTAAATCTTATATATAAAAAGGTCCTATAATTTTTTTTTTCAACAAAAATTATCCGGGGTCCTACTTGATCTTGTAATGAATTTAATATATGATAATTTCAAATTAATCTTACAGATTCCTTGACAAGGCTTGCATCAAAATCCAAGAAGGAACTGAAGCAAAGGAAAGCCCATGGAAACTATGCACAGTATCACAAGTTCAGCAAGTGAAGATAATCATATCAGTTATTCCAATTTTTGCCTGCACCATCATATTCAACACAATCTTAGCTCAGCTTCAAACCTTTTCAGTTCAACAAGGAAGCATCATGAACACAAACATCACAAAAAGCTTCAAAATCCCTCCTGCTTCACTTCAATCCATCCCTTACATCATGCTCATATTTTTTGTCCCTCTCTACGAAACCACTTTCGTTCCGATTGCCCGAAAATTCACCGGAAAGGATTCTGGAATCTCCCCTCTACAAAGAATCGGCATTGGACTCTTCACTGCAACATTTTCAATGGTATCAGCTGCATTGGTAGAGCACAAGAGAAGAAATTTATCTTCGAATCAAACACTCTCGATCTTTTGGATCGCGCCTCAGTTCTTAATCTTCGGCCTCTCGGAGATGTTCACCGCAGTTGGTCTCGTCGAGTTCTTCTATAAACAATCATTAGAAGGAATGCAAGCATTTTTGACGGCCATGACTTATTGCTCATACTCATTTGGATTCTACTTGAGCTCACTTCTTGTGTCTCTAGTGAACAAAATTACATCAAGTTCTGGATCATCAGGTGGATGGCTTAGTGACAATGATCTTAACAAGGATAGGCTTGATCTTTTCTATTGGCTTCTTGCTTCACTAAGCTTTGTTAATTTCTTTAACTATCTTTTCTGCTCAAGATGGTATTCTTCAAACTCGCTAGCTAAAGTATCCACCTCAAGGGACTTTTAGAGAAGATAAATAGAGTCTTAGGCTAAGATATATTCTCTTATAGCATGTTAGGGTTGCAAATATCAGAGCTTGAAATATTATGTGATATATATGGTATTGACATAGTTGGGTTTTGTACTAAGAAAAAGATGAAAAAGTGCATTAACTATTTTCTTATGTAATTCTTTGTTTTCTACTTTTTTTTATTACAGCTGCTCTCTTTTTAACAAAGAAAAGTTTAGAAGAGTTGGGTTTCTCGAGCTCACTAAAGCCAAGGCATACCTCCAGGCTCAAAGAACATTTATAGAGGTGCTTAATTTGAATTTGAAATGGGTTAAACCCTAATTGAGAAGAAACATTTTTAGTAATTTTTTTAAAGAAAAATCCACAATGATTGAATTCAAGACCATAACCCTTAATTGTATTTTTTATGTTTCAATCCACAAGCTCACCTAATATGATTGTTGCATTCCTATATAATTACTCAACATAATAATCATTGGTTTTTACATGTATTATATTTATCCTTATATAGTAGTCCGTTGTAAATAATTTCCGTTAGTCATTTTTTGTTGCAAATTTCGGTAATAAACATCAAAACGCTTAAAATGTGTGAAAATTCTCTCTTTATTATTCAATGGAAAACTACATCTATCTAATTAAGGACTCTGATTAAAGAATTTAGGTTAAGATATTTTAAACACTATAATTATTTTAAAGGATTAACATTAGTAATTACTAATTACCAAGCTTTGGAGACCTAGAAAATAAACATTTTAATAAATTTAGTACTAGATTTTAAAAATTAAACAATTTTCGTAGTGATTTTTTTAAAATAAATTAATAATATAACTTTTCAAACCTTTGTTGGAAACATTTTAACGTTTTATCAGAATTTCAATCCTTTAAATATAATTAAAATGAAGCCAAAAAAATTGTAATCATAATTGGAAAGATCGATCCTGGTCCATATATGTGTAATCTTCACTAGCATCCCCTCCATCACAAAATTCCAAGGAGAATCTGTATCCTCTACTATTCTCAAGGATAAGCCTGACCCATAAAATCAGATATAGAACATTCATAATAATTTTGATGGTAGAAACTTCAAACTTTTTATTATTTTTGAATTTAAAATAAAAATATTGTTTGATATTAAGATTGACAATGAAGAGATTATTATTATTTTATTTATTCAAACTTCTATTAAAATGAAAAAGTCAAAATAAAATAATAAAATAGAATAAAATACATATTATAAAATTTTGATTAATTAGATGGCTCAGATTTGAGAATAATATTCTCCACTCATCATTTTGGTAATTAGTAGATTTTCAAGCGATAACTTATTATATTACATATTCTCTATTATAATCATGTGCAAGGAATTGCATTTGTTTAAGGCTGTGAAAAAGGACAATAAAGTGGTGGCCATGCTTTATGCTTTATCTAAATGAAGCAATTTCAAAGCAGATCTGCATTTTATAATGATGGAGATTTCCTCACAGTGTAAAATCTTGCTTTAACCTACAAGCTTTTATTTTCTTAAAAAATAAAAATTAAAAAATGGCCTGATATGAGAACACCGGGATGAAATAATCATTTCCCAGAAACTCATTACTCATTCTAGAAGAAATTGATAGTTTTTTTTTTATAAATTACTTTATAAAATTACTCTCTTCATTAATTATTCTCTTCTAATTTTACATTTTCGTAATTTTTATTAATAGAGTAAGATGCTATATGTGAGAAAAAATTGTTTTAAAAGATATTAATACTCTTTTAATTTTATTTATAAGTCACTTTTAATTTGTTTCATCAGGATTAAAAAAACATAAAACTCCTTAATTTTGTTTAAACTTTTGACGAATTTTTAATTTTAACCCTATTAAATATGCATATTTTAACAATATATTTTTTATTTTTAACATTTAATAAAGGATAAAAAAGAAATTTTGGGATAAAAATTTAATGATGTTACTACTAATTTATAAATAACTCAAAAAAATATTCTCGCTTTATCATATAAATAGGATAAAAGAAATTATATTTAATAAGAATAAATTGAGAATTTTTTTAAAAAATATTAATAATTTAATAACACCACAAAGTGATCAACTTTTTTTATATATAAATATAGGATTGGAAGGATCACAAGTAGCTATAGTCAAATTGGCTTTATCTTTTGACTTTTAATTTGAGAGATCAGAAACATGTTTGAGACATGTTCATGAGTAAAAGCTTTGGTAGTGCTTGCAATGCTCAAACCACCATTGGGTGATAATATGACTTTTGATTAAACTTTCCATGTTTATGTTTGGTTAAAGCGTTAGTTGGGCCATAAGAGTACCATTGTTTACCAGCAGAATTTTGTTCACTGAATTTTGTGCGCACATATTATGAGTCCACAGAGTGGGAGAGAGAGTCTCTCTTTTTTTCCCCTCTCCTTTGCCCTCTCTTTCTCAATCCCCAACCTTCATTAAATTTATAATTAAAATAAATTTGTTTAATAAAATAAAATTAATGGTGAGGATTGAGTATATGTCCCCCACAAGGCGCCCATGGATTCAGCGCTTTCATTTTGTGATCGCTTCGCTTCAATGACATGACACAACTCTAAATATACGGTTCACCTATATACCATGCACTCTCTCCCCTTCAAAACAGAAATGTTTTTTCAATTAATTTTAATCTAAAATATAAATAATTTAGTATTCATAAAAAAATTCTCATTTCACCTTTTGTATTTATTAACCTAGAATTTTAAATTTGTAAATTTATATGATCCTTTTCTCACCATTATAGATTGGAACTAAGTACAAAATGAAAAAACAATATAGATATATATATACGAGAATAAAAGTTTTATTGGTATATATGAGCATTATTATTATTATTATTAAAAGCTACTTTTATTATTATAAGAGTAAGTTGGCTCAATGGTCATGAAAAATACAGTTTTCATAAATTATGGATAAGGTTTTTAAATGTCTTGGAACATGGCCCATGCACAAAAACAATTAGAGGTGATTTTTTTCTTTTTATCTATAGAACAAATATATTATTAAAATATTTTGCATAAATTGGCCTGCGAATATATCTCTTATAACTAATTAAATAATTTTACCCTTTAACTAATTGAATCAAATCCTTGCACATATGTCTATCATATCTCTCCCCCTTTCACAATAATTCCTTCCCTTTCTTGGTGGGCAGAGGAATCAAGGTGATATTTACATATTGCTTTTTTGTTGTCCTAACAAGTGCACTCTTCTACAAGAGACATTCCAACACGAGTAGTTCAATTTTGTACCTCTACAAAAGAGTGTCATTGCTAGGCTTCTTTGCACGAAGATGAATGTAAAGCCAAAACTTTCACTACATAGAGGTATTTGATTCTCTGTGATAAGTTAAAATGTCAATAATTTTTTACGAACTGTGTTTGATTTGTTTTGGGCAAAATGATTATGTTTTTTTCATGTTTCTAATCCACAATAGTATATCAGTGATCTACAATTGTACATCATTGATAAATCATATCAGTGAAAACTTATCAGCAACATTTAATCTTGTATATATAAGGATGTTTAATCTTGTTATTTCTTACGATGCAAAATTGAGATCTATTAGTTTAGATATTTGATTTTCTATAATAAGCTAAGATGTCTAGAATTTTTTTACAAATTGTGTTTGATCTATTTTGGAAAAATAATTATCTTTTTTTTTCATGTTTTCAATCTACGATAGTATATATCACTAATAAACAATATCAAATAAACAATATCAATGAAAACTTATCAATACCATTTAATCTTATAGATATGGGGATGCTTAATCTCATCATTTCTTTCTTTGTTTTCTTTTAAAGAGGGTCAAATGAAGCTCTCTTCCATCTTTGAGTATTTCAAAGAAGGTTTTTATCCAAAAAAAAGTATTTGAAACAATGTCATATTATTTGCAAAGAGAGTAGTTTTGTCATATAAAGTTCAACTAAAAATTAAAATGGCTATAATGCAAATATAACAAATGTTAGGCTATTTATTAGGTTTGATTTTATAAAATGGGCTATATATGTAAAAGCCACTTTTTATAATTGTTCCTTTTGAATCAAGTGAAGAAATTTAGGTCTTTAGAGCATGTTATGATATGTTAGAATCTAAATCTGGAAAAGGGAGATGAAAATGAAAATTTTAGGTTTGTTTTGATTTTTTTTTGTTTTTCATTATTAAAAACTAATCTAAAAATGATTTTTTAAAAAATCATTTTTAAAATAAATTTTTTGGATTATATTAATTTGAAAACAATTTTAAAAATAATTTTTAAAATAAAAAATTTTGATTATAGTAATTTGAAAACAATTTTAAAAGTAAAAAACTAGTTGATGACCATGATTGATGATAGTTGCCAATCAACCAAGGTGGCCGATAGCTAGTGGGTAGTGGCAGTTAGGGTTGATCTCAATGAAATGCAATAGCTAATTTAATGTGTTTTAAAGAGAAAAACAAGAAAATAAAATGAAAACAATTCCAAGATGCAATTTTTTTTTATTTTTAAAAACAAAACATCATAAAAATTTTGAAAATCACCTAAATGCAAAACAATTATTCAGATGAGTTTTTTCTAAAATTTAAAACTGAAAACTTTACAAATGAAAATCAAACAAGCATGTTAAAGGCAGGAATAAGATTTTTCATCCATATAGTTAAAGAATACTAAAACTTCAATTTTCATGGAAATCAGGCTATAATGTCAGACAATTGTACCCTTCCAAAGTTTGTTGGCACCTCGCTCCGACAACTTGGCATCTTTGATAATCATAGGACTAGCCACAACTTCGACAACAAGATCCATCAAGCATGTGCATGTTTAGTCCTTCTTATCAATCAATTATCATGTTGATCAATTAAGATTGTACAAATGATCAAATTGAGAATTTTGCAGCTCAAGATAATCGAGCAATGAGTCTTCAAGTGATCGAGTGAAAAACAAAGTTTAGAACAAATTAATCTCAAAGACTTGATTGATTAACCTCGTTTTCCATTTTCTCCTTATTTCCAAGACTTTGTTTCCAAGAAAACAATCATGCAGCCTCTCCTAGAAGAAGCGATCATGCATGGTCTTCTTGGGTTCAACAATGTTGATCAGAAGAATATATAGGTGTAAATCAATTGATAAGCTCTCTAACTTGTAATTAATCAGAGTTTTTGGATTATAGAAGCTTTATTTATTAGTATTTTTGTGAGATATATCTTATCTATCAAGGTCTAGCTCGTCGTCTAAAAAAATACCAGATTCAAATCATTTACAATCACATACGTAATCCAAAAGACATTTTTTTCCTGTAAAATTTTAAAATATGTAGGGTATATAATTGTCAAATAAAGAAAAGATATTTCAAAATTCATAATTTGTTAACCTATTATAAACCTAAATCTCATGTTTAATTTAATTACCTTTTCTCTTTTTACTCTATTTCAAAATTCACAATTTAATTGCGCAAACAAAATTAAAAATGTTTATAAATTATAAGACTTAAATAAATGTTTTAAAATTATAAAAATCCAAACAAAAAGTTACGTAAAGTTATTGGAATCAAATAAACCGTATCATTTTTTGTTAAAACAAACCATATATATCATTTATTTTTAATCAATCAAACTATGGACCCATTTGTTTAAAATTTTAAAAAAATTAAATTTTAAATAGTTAAGAGATTTTATAAAAACCAAAAATAGATTTATTTATTTTATAAAATTTTTATTTAAAAACTGTATATTATTTTATGTTTGGTTACAATAATAAAAAAAGTAACTATTAGTTAGTTATGTTTATATTTTATTATATCTTCATTCATTACTACTCTTCTCTGTTAAAAAATATATGGCATTTTTAATCAAATTTTATCTTTAATAAAGTAGTTACTTATCTTCAAACTAACCATATATTTTCATATTTACCCCTATTTAATAGGGTGTTTGACCTTAAAATAAATATAAAGTGATTTATTCAATAGAGATATTTTTTTTTAAAAAAAGCAATGATTACATATTGAAAGACTAAAAATACCTCATATTTTTTAATATACAATCTCTCAAAAAATGCCTTACATTTTTCAACAGAGATATTTTATAAAAATAATATATTATTTGATTATTTTAAAATTTTATGATATCTTTATATATCCCTACATGCTTAATGACATTCACTCTTGTCTATTACATTAAATTATTTTTAGAAGCTATTTAAAGTAATTTCTTAAAATAATCAAAATTTTTTTTTCAGATTTGGATTAATTATTTTCAAAAATTTAAATAAACATATAAAAACTTACAGATATATATTTTTTTTAATACGTAGCTTTTTCATCCAAAAAAAAAAAAGAAACAAACGGGCCCTGTATCAAATTGATTGAAATTTACTAAAGCTAAAGTTGCCCCTCAAGTTCTTAAATGCAATTTAACCCATTATAGTGCAGGGAAAAGGGCTAGTCCTTCGTGTCTGATTTGAGTGCTTATCATGTGATGATCATCATGATCCTCACGAGTAATTTAAACCGTCCACATTTTTATCTCCAAATTTATAGATTTTATTTTTATGTTTTATCTTATATTTATTAAAATAAAATTATAAATAATTATAAATCTATCCTATCATCAATTTAGACAATGTGTATTTAATTCGGATGATTAATTCAATTTAATATTAAGTATCTTTATTATTTTTATAAATTAACTATCTAGATATACTCTAAATATTCTATATTTAAAATTTTTAAATTACAACTTTTTCTTAATTTTCTTAATATTTATAAAAATATTTTTATAATTTTTTATAATAAATATAAAATAAAATATAAAAAATAAAATTTGAAAATCTAAACGATGCAGATGATGAGTATCGAAACCAAAACGCCAAATCCTCCATATTCATCATCTACATCACCACTTAAAGCTGGACCCTACCAACAAAATAATGATAAACTAACCATCTAAACACAGCTAATTAATATCAATTAAATTGAATGTCTTAATAGACTTCTACTTTATGTGGACCTAAACTTGTGTTAAAGTATTTGCTATCATGAGTTTTCTTGCATACCCGCGTCCTAATTTAGGGGGAGAATAATAGAAAGATTCTAAAAGGATGAATTAATTTAATTTAAGTCTCAAGTGTCAAACTTTAAAAATTTGTAAGTTTGACTTTAAATTTTACAACTTCATTATGATAAATTTATAATTCACATTTCAAATTTTAACAGTGGTTTTTGTTAAAATTTAAAATATAAATTATAAATTCATCACAATAAAATTATAAAATTGAGAGCTAGACTTGTAAATTCTTGAAATTTAACACTTGAAATTAAAAAAGACCTCTCTATCATTCTACCCTTAAATTGTATCTCTAAAGTCATGTGTGATCATTACCTTCATTTTTTGTTTGTTTATAGATATTTTTCTATTAGAGATAATTTTATTTAAGATGTAGTTATGCACTAAATGTGAATACCTCTAAATAAAAATTTAAATATTAATTTATCACATTATAAATGACTAGTTTCTCCCACTAAATTTAATTCCAAACAATTTGTTACCATCATTTTAATTAATATATCTAGTGGGGCCATACCTAGTTGGCGCGATTTAGGGTCGGGAATGACACCTACAGTTTGAAGGGCCTTGCCTTTGACATAATGAAATAAAAAAAAGTGGCAGACGTAATTGTTAAAGATCTTAGAAGAAGAAGAGTAGCTCACTTTCTTCCTTTCATCTAAAGTGAAAGTTAAACTTCTCTCCATTTATTTGTTTTCCTCCACAATCATCTCAAATTTTAGATTAATTCTGGGCAATGGATATTTTTCAAAATTATTATTAAAATAAAAAATTATGAAAAATAAATAAATCAAGGTAGCCAAAACTTGTTCTGTGCAATTCAAAACTATTGTAAAGAGAAATAGGAAAAATAATTATAAAAAAGAAAATAAGGAAAAATTATTTTTGTAAAACATCAAAATCTAAGCCATTCAAAACTTGATCTAACACGTGAAATAAGAAATGGAGAGAAAGTGAATGGGAAAAAAAAAGAAAAAAGCTAAGTCCAATTAAAATTTATAGCTCAATAAACATTTCATTTAGTTAGAGGTGATAATATGTAATTAGTATTAGTCATGTTGGTTCGATAGTAGCTGAGCCAATATTTGACTGGGATTTTAGAAAGAGCCAATATTAGATAGAATCTAAACCCAAACCAATTTTTTTTATTTTTTAAACAAAAAATAATTTTTGAAAACAAAATCAAACAGGTCTCTTATCTTTTTCGTTCTTTACTTTTTCATATTTTAAGCTTTCAACAAGTGCATTAAAAGCAAAGTGAATAGGTTTCAGCGATAAAGATTCTATTTGAAAGTGCCCGAATTTAACCTAATTAGATAGCCAAATAAGAAAAGTTTTTACTTGAAGGAAATTCAAATAATTAAAAAGGTCGGAAGAAAAATGCATTTGTTGTGAATAGCAACAGTCTCAAGCTATATGCGGATAATATATCTCCAAATATTCTAACCACGTAATTATAGATGTTAAATATATATATATATATATATGTTGATTGTAATTGGGAAGTAATCCAATGATTGTTTAACTTTTTTGAGTTTGAAAAGGAAAAAGAAAACAATTTCAATTTTATTATCTCTGTTTTTATTTTCAATGGTTATGTCTTTTAAATATTTTTTTGCAACTAGTTTACTCATGATGTCATTGGCCACCCTCTATAAACTTGACATGGGTAACTCCTGCTGGTAATGGAGACTTTTGGAGAGAGCAACCGTGTTGATTATATTTTTTTGGATTTTACTTATAATCACTTTTAGCACGTATTACTGAAATCAAAAAAAATTTTAAATCTTATTAACTCTATCTTAAAATTTAATAAATTTTCACCTCTACCTATAATAAAGACAAACAAAATTATTTTTAATAATTTTTTCTAACATTTAATAAAAAGTAAAAAAGTAAATGAGTATAAAAAGTAGCAAAATATCCTATAAATAGGATCAAAATTAATCTTCTCTCTTCATCATATAAAATAGACAATGAGGAGTATAAAAGTTATGTCATCCCAGTTCTCATGCTCTTGCTTTTGATGATCAATATACAAGGATGTAACAACATGGAGAATGATGCTGATTATTGAATCTACGTTTTTTGCTTTTGGGGTGGCCTGTGATAAGCTCAATTCATATGATTACATGAATATACCCACTTTTGGGCTCCCATTTAATTGAACATGGGCCTTTAGTGGACCAAAATTTAAATAGTTTAGAATTTTTGTACCTTACAGGGCCCATTGGCCTGAAGTGAAGTGATGTTGGACCAAAATGAGGTGAACACTCGATTTGGATCATCTCTCATTCATTTCCCTCCTCTTTTACTCATCCCATTCCACCATTGGATCAAAACTTGATTGGCCAAGATTTAATATTTAATAAAACTATTCTAATATAATATAAAAATAAATAAATAAATTTAAACTATTAAAATTTGATCTAAGCATTTCATAATTGTAGACTAACCATAGACTATTGTAAAAATAAATAAATAAATTTAATACTAAATCTCATCCATCCAATTTTTAATTTAAGGATAAAGATAAAAATGAGGAGAAGAAAACGAGAAAAAGGATGACAGGAGGATTGATATCAATGAATATTCAAGCCCACCAGTTTCACAAAGCTTGATACCTAAATTCTTTATGGCAATATATTTTACTTTTAAAGAGAGATTCCATCATGTTTTATTATTCTCATATTATTTAATGCAGATTTCGTTTATATTTCTCTTTTATTCCCCGTCTATTCTCCTCAATTCATACATTTCCAAGCTTCATGAATCCATCCGCTCTGTTCAATCTGGATTTGACCCTTTCTCTCAATGGTGAAGCAGACAAGTGTTCACAAATAAAGCCATCTCAATAATTTACAGGCCAGCAAAAGTTCAAAAGGAAATACAGTATCAAACAATCAAATTCTGCATCTTATGCCAATTCTTTATTTCAAGGCCCTAAAACACAAATTTTTATTTATTTACTTTTTCTTAATATACAAATATAAAAGATGGAAGGTCATATACTAACCTTCTACAGAAACACAGCATCCAACAGTTCGAGCAATCTTATTCTATGGCTCCACAATGATTTTTCCAGTGGCATGGCCATCAACACTCTTAGCCCAAGCATCTTCAGCTTTGCTCAAAGGAAAGCGAGAGTCAATAACAATCTTAAGCCTTTCATCTTTAACCAACTGAACCAGATAATTCAGGTTTTCTTTCTTGTCCTTTACAAAGAAGAATGGCACCAGCTGCTTCTTAGAGAATGTAAGTTTCCTGAGAGCACAAGTCATCAATGCGCTTATGCCAGGCGTTAAATCTATTACCTTCCCGTGTTCAGCCAATTGAGGCTCAAAAGTTGACCATGGAATTCCAGTTGTACAATGGATCACGGCATCATATTTTCGACCGGATGGACTCTTTAAAGAAGCCCCTTCTGGAGTCCTATAGTCAAGAATCTCATCAGCACCTAAGCTCTTGACGAAGTCTATGTTACGGGCGCCACAGGTGGCTGTTACATGTGTGTTTCCTAGCTTCGCTAGTTGAACTGCAAGGTGACCAACACCACCTGAGGCTGCAGTTACTAAAATGTTCTTCTGTTCACCAGTTCCATCAAGCTTGACTCCAGCAATCTCAGTGAGGACCTGATGAGCCGTGAGGCCAGGCAAAGGTAAAGCTGAACCTTCAGCAGCTGAGACCTCAGATGGTCTTTTAGCCGTTAAGCTTTCAGTAGACACAGCAAAGCTGGCTAATCCACCTCCATGCTGTCATTCAACGTGAACAGACCAAAAATTAAAATTACACTCTCTCCATCCTTGTAGAAGATGTTTTTAACCAAATCTTGCATGTTAAAAAGAATTTGTTATTAATTGAAATCACATAAAACTACAATAATTATCGAGTTTTACCATTAATAATGTCACAATCAATATCACGGTGGCAGGCGGTGAGTAAAGTACACAATTAATATCTCTTACATTTTTCAAAACAAGGGTTAAATATACCATGACATCCTTTATATTTAAGGACAAAATAATTTTTTAGAAAACACCTTATACATAGGGATGGAGGGAGTGTATAACTAGAATGCATCAGCACACAAATTGTACTCGACATAAGCTTGTTGAATACAAATCTGTTACAGGGATTGTAAACTCAGGCAAACAATCATGAATCATGTAGCATCAACATATATTCTTCTAGATTATGGAAAAGAAATACACCTACCTTCAAGGGTGTGAGACAAATGCATTGATGCATAAAGCGTGCAGAATAAATTTAACTCAGGTAGTTTATTTTGAAAAACAAAACATTTGTTACGATTTGCAGTTATTTACATCTGATATATATTTTCTTTTCTGTCACCAGTCAAATAGCTACACAAGCTCACAATTTTAACCCACAACTACTAGAATTTAGAAAGAACATTACATCGTGCGAAAGTTTAGTGACAACTTTGTCACCAACTTTGAAATCTTTGACTTGCGATCCAACCTCTACTATCTCTCCTGCTATGTCAGTACCTGTTTTCAACAAATAAAATTAATTATCACACTATCACTTATGCCATAATTTTAGAGGAAACATCAGTATGAAATGACTGAAAAATAATATTAACAAATGAAGTAGACATCCAAACTAGAATCAGTGCAACGTCGGGAGCAAAGCGTAATTAGAACAATGAAGTATGGTATGCAGTCATTCTGAGCTGCTTGGTATTTATATAGCATGCATGAGCAGTTTTGTCACAATAAAGCATGAAGACGCAATTTTCAGGTGTGAAGTGTGACAAGAAATTGACATATATATATATATATATATATTTCCATCGAAACTGTAGGGACACAACTTGGACAGAGCAAAACTCAAAAGAAAAATAAAATGTGACTAGAAATCCCCTTTTGATAAGATCATTGAAGTTCTTTATATATGCTTTTTGTTTTATATGAATAATTTGAACGATATACATTAGCATTTTTATATTTAGTAGAATTTTTTGAGAATAAACAATGAAACACATAGAAAATAGGATGATCTGAGGTCTTTTCACAAAAGCAGGTCATTAAATAAAAATTTCATCTGGATGTGCCTATGTCTAACTATGCTTCATATGATCCATTGGACGATCCTAGTTATTACTCATTAGGGCTTTTATTTAGTTTACTAGTGACAGTTTATATAACAGGGGCCTTAAGCAGTTCAGTGAATCAAGAGTTTAGTTTCAAATAAGCCCAGCTGCAAAGACACGTGTTATGCCTATGTTAATCTTCTGTATCTGAACTTCTCTCTTTTCCTCCCATCTTCTGATCAGACTAAATCTGCTCTTATTGGAAGGAATCGAGAACAAAAACTAACACAAACAATCTTCAGCATCACCTAGGGCCTCCTTATCCTTAATCCCAAGCTCAAAGGAAGCTCAGGAACACGACCATAGATGAATTATTTTAAATTATGAAGTATGAAGATCCTGCATCAAAACCAATTCAGATTTCCAGATTAAGCAACAGATGCCATGTTTGGGGATTTTGGAGAGATTGGCACCTATTGCCTAAATTTTCAGCAATTGGCAGCTGATTGGTTACCTATTCAACATAAATAGAAAGTCTGTCAAATACGGGACTCCAAAGTCCTTCGAAGTTCAATAAATATTATATATATATTGATGGAGAGACATAACCCAAATCAGAAAGAAAATTTTGATGAAATCATGAACTGTAAGGACCAAACGACATAACCCTATCACAAATTCTGAGAGCTAAGTGCAAAGAATGCTCAAGAACTTCTCAAAGCACATAAAATTTTTTATTTTACCAGGTATGAAGGGAAGCTTTCCAGGGAATATAGGCCGTAGCAAGCCCTTTTGAATCTTCCAGTCAATAGGGTTCACCCCAGCTGCTTCCACTTTCAGCAAAACCTCATTTTTCTTTGGAATGGGAACTGGAACCTCAACATGCTGCTTACAAGTAAGATGTCAAATGAAGAGTCAAGAGTGATTTAATTTATTTATCCAACTAGCACCCTCAAATGAAAATTATTTGGGCTTGAATCATGAACAAAGCACACACCTATCATACCCTGTGCTTCCATTTATTTTTATAGGAATATTTTCAGTCGAAGTGAGGGAGCCGATAGATCAAGTTCCTAACTACGTGGTCATTAAAGCCTTTGATGCAACATTAAGATTCTTAGAAAATGAAGAGATATGACAAAAATACTTGCACAAAAATAATCAGGTCTCATCCTCCTCCTTCTGGATTTATTCAAAGAAAACCTTTTATTTAAACTATGTGATTCCATAAAAACTCCCAAAAAAAAAAAATCATCATATAGAAGTACAAGTCTCAGACACAGAAGTAGATCAGAGCATAACCTATGGAAGAAAGACGCAAGAAAAAAAAAAAATCACCACAGAGGTAAATCAGAACAGAATAAATTGAAGACAGAGCCAAAAAAGAAGTAAAAGAAAAAAATAACCTTCAAACTAGCTGGACCACCGCCATAGCGATCGTACTGAATAGCGCGCATAAGCTTTCTGGCCATATCCACTGAGGACGACCCGATAGAGTTGACATTCAGGAGAATCCATAAAGCAATCCGCCAAATTAGAGAGTCTGGTGGCGATTGTCGGCTAGGTTTATTAAATTATTTTTCTTAATGTTTTGAATTCTACACACTCAATCCAACTCAAATAAATTAGGTCCAACATGATGAGATTAATTTTTTTTTAATATCGGCGAAAATCATGGACCTCCATAGTTTCCCGTCGAAGCTGCTCTTCCTCTCCAATGCTTCCAACCTTTCAGAACTCCTCTATCCAGTCACCATGTTTCCAAGATGCGGATATTCCTTTATCTCCTTGGTGTGGAATTGATTTTGAAGGAGTTCTATAACTTAAAGATATAGAAATTGGGGCACTAAAAACAATGCGAACAACGGGGTACTGCTCAAATAAGCAAACGGAAAGAAGCAGCGACATGGTGGAGCTGTATCTCTCAGCTCCTCCGTCAAGACGTCGGCGGCATGTGCCGTCGTGGAACCTCTCGCCATTTCGGGGGATGACAAAGAAGAGAATATAAGCCCGTTGGGCTTGGCTGAATATCCGTTTCTTTCTTTTTTTCTTTCGTTGTGCTTTTTTTTTTTTTTTGGTATTATACGCTGCGCATCACACCCACCCACTCAGACTAATATTCTGTCAGTCGAGCGAACCCTCCCCTCCCCTCCAACGAAACAATGCCTTAGTCTCTCGCGGTTGAGCTTGAGCAGCCTCTCTCTCTCTCTCTCTCTCTCTCTCTCTCTGTGGCATTCCGAGACTTCGACTCTCTGTCACTACTATCAGCCACCTTCTTCTCTGCTCGGCGACATCGACCGTCTTCTTTGCTCGGCGAACCGCAAACGGAGATCTTCAGATCCGGCAACTCGAGTGTCGGTCGAATTGCTCGAGTCTCTCTCTCTCTCTCGTTGCTGTTTCTTCTATGCTCGGCAAACGGCGGCGTTCTCCGGCTTCGCTAAACTCTGTTCAAAACTTCAGAACTTCGATCGTCTCCACCCACGGCCACAAGGTTTTCTTCTTCTTTCTTTTTCTCTCGTCTCCACCCACGGCCACAAGGTTTTCTTCTTCTTTCTTTTTCTCTCGTCTCCACCCACTACCACAAGGTTTTCTTCTTCTTCTTCTTTCTTTTTCTCTCGTCTCCCCCCAGAGGTTTTCTTTGAGTGTTGTACTGTTGTTGGATTATTCTCTGATTCGGTCCTGGTTGTTCTATTGGACAATGGGCATTGTTATGGCGTTTGTGTTGGATTAATCTCTGCTTGGATAAACTTTGAAGTTTGGTTATTATTTTTCATTAATGTAGTTTTGCTACTTGTTTTATTTGAGCTGATTCAATTTGAATTTGTTGTGGAGAGATCTTTATTTACTGAGATACACACCTTTTCTTTCAATATGAGAAAATGGATCTCTAGACTCTGTTGGAACGTAGAAGGATTTGTTAGCACTGAAAATAATAATAAAAAGAATGAGGTGGCTCTAATTGGAGTATTGGGCTGAACCTGAATGAGCTTCCTTGCCTGAATTACTAACTCTAACATTAGTATTTACTTTATTTAAGTGAAAAAAGGATAAAGAATAGTAACATTAAAGGGCGTGGATACTATTAGAGTTAGGAAAACTGGTCAGCGGGCTAGCTTGCCATAATTGGCGGTCTAGGTTAGTTGGAATAGCTCACACTGTAAAATTGACTAGTTAAATCAACTAGTTGACAAGCAAGGTGGCTAGGCTTTCTCCAAAGGTACTGAAAATCTAACAGGGAATTGAATCGATTAAGACACCTATTCAAGGGTTAGTGGTAAAAAATGTAATCAAAAGTTGATTATAAACAAAACATTTTATTAAACAGGTCAAGACATTAGTTTAACAGTTTACTGGGTCAACTGGGTGGGTTGACATGAACTGCCATGCTATGTTTACCCTTAATTTTTCCAATGTAGATGAAGGTTTGAGATGTGTTTGTTTTAAAAATTGCAAAATGTAGTTTGCAAAGTTAGGGAATTGGGATGTTTACGGATTAAAAAAGCTGTAACTGAAGTTAGAAGAAAATTGTGATTGTAACATGATTTATGTTTGGATATCTTTTTTTTTTTCCCTGAAGTTAATTAGACAAACTGAAATTTGTTTGGATGATTTGATTTAAAAGCCAATTGAGATGTATGATGACAAAATAAATGTGAGATTTTTCTTTTTCTTTTTAAAACCAATTTGATATTTTTAGAAAAAAGTATTGAACTTAAAGTTACAAATTTTTAAAAAAGTAGATTACAAATATAAAATACATTGATAAATTAAAAAATAACTATAGTATAACTATAGTTATTTTTTAATTTATAATTTTGAATATTTAGATTCAGAGAAATTGTTACAATATTATCAATATATATTTGTAATAATTATATTTAAGCTTACTATGTATTATAATATAAATAAATTATGATATAATAAGTTTCAGCAAGCTTATTATATTATAATTTAATGTTAGAAATTTTTACATAGACTCGGTACACCATGCCATCTGTGGACAGTCCAATACAAACTTGTCATGTCAACACCAATTGAGTCAAATAAAATCTTATATGATATTATTTTTTATGATTTTATTTTTGGAATTTTCTTTCTTGCCTTCTCTCTCTCTCTCCATCATCATCAATGAAATAATAAATTTATATTTACAACTATCTTACATGATATGTTTTTATTGAACAGTTCACAAATGACAAGGTGCACCAGATTAGTGTAAGAATTTCTCATTTAATACACCAGGCGGGCTCTAAGTTTTACTCAAATTAGTGCGGATTTCTTGCCGCCACTAGTTTTCTTGTCCTCTACTACTCACTAAGTGAAATCAGAGAAACAAAGGGTCAAAGTCAGAGAAACACCAAGTGAAGTCAAACACCCGTTGGGTACGGTGACATTAGAAGTTAGATCATCATTAAACCAAAGCACCCATGAGGTGACTCCCAATGAATCAAGACTGTCCATTGCAATCAGAGGGCTAAAGATGAGGCAACTCATTTGGTGGACGATTTCAATGTCGACTAATGTGTTCAACCATGACTTCCCACTTCCTCGGCTAAAGTTTGAAGACGGCCAACATTGTAGTGTTAGCTCCATTGGAAGCAGTTTGAGCTTGATTAACCATGTTGACCAAAGCCAAGACAACACTCTCATCCATAAATTTCTTGAATCTCATATCCTATGCTAAACTCAAACCTCATAAGGAGCTCTACTTTGCTTCTGAATTTTATAAATTTTGAACTTAAGGTGTGAAGTCCAATTTTGTATTAGCCTTGTACTAGTGACTAGCAAGTTTCAGAGTCTCCGACCATGTGTTTGCTAAGTTTTCGAAGAACTCTATCACTTTCCTGCCAATATTTGTCTGAAAAGTCCGGTTTACACAAAGTCTTCATAAAATCTAGTAATCCCAATGATTTTATTATAAGCCACCTTTGTCGAGAGAGGAAATTTAAGGAAGCCATTGACATCTTAAGTGAACAAAAGCGAGTGAAGGAAGCGGTTCAGTTGCTTGATCACATTGATCGACCCTCTTCTCTAATATACTCAACGCTTATTCAAGTTTGTCTTCAACATCAAGCTCTTGAAGAGGGAAGGAGAGTCCATGCACACACCAAAGCTTCAAACTTTGTGCCTGGGAAAGTCATTTCTAACCGTTTGATTGATATGTATTCAAAATGTGGAAGCCTTGTGGATGCCCAGAAGGTGTTTGATGAGATGACTGATCGAGATTTGTGTTCTTGGAATATTATGATTGCTGGCTATGCTAAGGTTGGACAACTTCAACAAGCTAGGAAGCTGTTTGATGAAATGCTTCAAAGAGATAATTTTTCTTGGACTGCTTTGATATCTGGTTATGTTCGCCATGGCCAACCGAAAGAAGCTATGGAATTGTTTAGAATGATGCAAAGGCATGGTGATTCAAAATTAAATCAATTTACTCTATCTAGTGTGTTGACTGCATCTGCTGCAATTCAAAGTTTACGTTTTGGGAAGGAAATTCATGGACACTTGGTACGAATGGGTTCAAACTTGGACAAGGTGGTTTTAAGTGCTCTTCTAGATATGTATGGCAAGTGCGGGAGTCTAAGGGAAGCTAGGGGCATTTTTGATCAGATGAATAGCAGAGATGTTGTTTCATGGACATCCATGATTGATAGATACTTTGAAGATGGACAGAAAGAAGAGGGATTTGCACTGTTTAGAGACTTGTTGCGGTCAGGCGTGCAACCAAATGAATATACATTTGCCGGAGTTTTAAATGCTTGTGCTGATCTTGCTGCGGAGGACCTGGGTAAGGAGCTTCATTGTTACATGACAAGAGTGGGTTATGATCCCTACTCATTTGCTGTGAGTGCACTTATTCATTTGTACTCAAAGTGTGGGAACATAGAAAATGCGAGAAAAGTTTTCAATCAGATGCCTTGTCTAGATTTAGCATCATGGACTTCTCTTATTGTTGGGTATGCTCAGAATGGTCAACCTGAGAAGGCTCTTCATTTCTTTGATTTACTGCTTAAATCTGGTCTAAAACCTGATCAAGTTACTTTTATTGGGGTTCTTTCAGCTTGTACTCATGCAGGATTAGTGGATAAAGGGCTAGAATATTTCCATTCAATAAAGGAGAAGCATGGATTAACACACACTGCAGATCATTATGCGTGTGTTGTTGATTTGTTGGCAAGATCTGGACGCTTCAAAGAAGCAGAGAATATCATTTGCAAAATGCCTGTAAAGCCAAGTAAATTTCTTTGGGCATCCTTACTTGGAGGATGTAGAATACATGGGAACCTTGAATTGGCTGAACGAGCAGCAAGAGCATTGTTTGAGATAGAACCAGAGAATCCAGCTACCTATATCACTCTGGCCAACATTTATGCTGATGCTGGTATGTGGGGTGAGGTGGCAAAAGTTAGAAAGGCTATGGATGTTAGTGGGTTAGTGAAGCTGCCTGGTAAGAGCTGGATTGAGATAAAAAGACAAGTGCATGTGTTCCTAGTTGGTGACACGTCTCACCCAAGATCAAATGACATACTTGAGTTCTTGGGGGAACTCTTTCAGAAAATGAAAGAGGAGGGATATGTGCCAGACACAAACTTTGTGCTACATGATGTGGAGGAGGAGCAGAAAGAGCAAAACCTTTCCTACCACAGTGAGAAGCTTGCAGTTGCTTTTGGAGTCATTTCAACTCCACCAGGAACACCAATCAAAGTTTTTAAGAACTTAAGAACTTGTGTAGACTGTCACACTGCTATCAAATATATCTCCAAGATTGTTCAAAGAAAGATAATTGTGAGGGATTCAAATCGGTTTCATTGTTTTGATGATGGAAGCTGCTCATGCAAAGACTATTGGTAATGATTCACTTAAACAGGCTTGCCTAGTATTATGACCTGAGAGTGAATTGACATCCTCATTCTGATCTTGCAAAAGTTGCAGCATGCCACAGCTGCATCATTAAGTGTTCCTAATCTTTCAAGAGGGTGATGCTGTCAAACAAACTAATTGGATGCCACACTAATCTACACTAGTGATGTGAGATCACGAAGCATGCCATAGAGGATTGGGACATTGAGAAGTCAACCAATGGTATCTTATCTTAAAGAAGTTTACGTGAAAAAACTTATAACAAGGATTAAAGACATTTATGTCTAGCCTCCTGTATTTAGTTAAAGTGAAATTGATGTAGAAAATTGTGGCGATAGTACTATTCCTTCTTTTAAGGAGGTGAAGATAATGAGGGTGGTAATGACCACTTCTGTGACATTTTCGTTTTGTTTCACTTTGAGAGCAGGGGATCGGATTTCAGTTTTATACTTCCTGCACCATTCTCTAGGGCCAGCACCTTATGAATTGTGGTGTAAGCAGGAATTGATCTTTGCCTAAATTTTAAAATGGAATGGTGAGTGATGCCTCGCGATGATTTGCTTCTCCAAGAAAGGTTGTTCTTGCCTACTTGAAGAATTAGATGAAGTTATTGATTCTATATTATTGTTACTTGTCAGTGACAAATACAGCTGATTTAAGGGTGGTTGATCATTTCACACATTTAGATATGAGGTTGTTGCACGTTTTCTATTGTAACTCATTGCTTAAGCAGATACTTTTTTGGTCATTTTTGATGATATTAGTGTTGTATATTGTCTCACACACTCTAGAATTTCTTTTATTTTACAGAAATGAAATCAAGATTTTCTATACATAAACTTTCCTTGACATTTAAATTTCTTTATTGAATAAATACATTGCTCACAAATTATTATTTTAAACAAATCTTTTGGTCTTCTTTTATACCATTTGACAATTAATGATCTTAATATCATTTCATCTGTTTGAAGGATAGAAGCATGGCTACCATGAGTTTTTCAGAACTGTAAATCCTGATGAACATTTATTGGATTGGAATTTTCCTGCATCCCTTGGTTTGTTGGAAATGCTCTTCATTCATTCTATTATCAAATATGAAGTGCTTGTGAATGTTGTCACTTCAAGGCCTGCATGCATTAAGGGTAGCTCCTAAGTTGATTGGGGAATTCATCCATTTGCGCTATTTGGATAGACACAAGTATTGGAAGTTTGCCCAGTCCTAATTGGATGTGTAAGTTGTATAATTTATAGACATTGGTCTTGTGATTTTGCCGGCCTCTTAAGATGTTACCAAATGACATGCAATATCTTGTCAATCTTCACCATTTGGATCTGTCCTCATGAGACAGGATTGCAAGTTTGCCAAACTCATTGTGAAAATTATACAATCTACAAACATTGAAGTTGGAATCTTGTTGGCATCTGTAGATGTTGCCATTTCATTGTTTAATCAGCTTTGACTTCTTATTTACATAACAATCGATCTTTTTTAAAGATCATACTATTAACAAATTGTTGGCCCTCCCTCCTCTCCATTCTACATATGGTCATGATCAATAGGTGTAAATCCAAGCTGGTATGATCAATCTCATCTTGAGCATTATTCAACATTATAGATTGAATCACAACTGTACTAGTTGCTGTAGCTTTTCCTGAACAATGATTGCAAGGTTGTGCCTTTTTCTTGCCTTTTGGGCTAGAGAGATTCTTTGGTAGACTAAGTCCATGTGAACTAGTCGTTTGGTTGTGTCAGAAGTAGGATGCACTGATAAGAAACCTGACATATTCATGTGTGCTCCTCCTTGGTTCAGTCAACAAATCTAGATGGGCTGTCTATCCATGAATCTGAGCCTAACCTTTAGGGGAATTAGCAAGGAAGGGAAATGAAGAGTCACGGGAGGTGGTATGACATAAAACTTGATGTCAGATTTGTTGAATATGACTGCGTAGCCTTTGTGAACATCACTTGAAGTAGGACTTGTAAAGTGTTTGTCAAGTAAATATTATATTTATTGATGGTTGATTTTTATTTTCATGTCGGCTTTCAAAAGGAAATTGTCAAAGCAGCAGAGACGTTTACAACAATGGGTTATAAGCATATTGAAGCAGGTGATTTGTTTTTCTCATGTGAATGCAGTTCATGCTTAACACTCATGATAATAAGAAGCACCTTTCAACTGTGTACAATGAAATTGTTTTCGAGCAAACATTATAAACAGTCTCCATGGTAGACAGGAATGGAGCTTTCTGAGGTTTGCTGTAGATATGGAGCAGAGAATAGCAGTGAAAACATATTGCCTAAGGCTGCATCAGTATATGGTGATGCTCGCAGACATGTTGAAAAGGAGCAAGAAGAATTCAATCAGCTTGTGTCTTCACTGGTTGACTTTTCATGTTTTCCATTTGAATAATTATTAACTATTAATGCTATTTAAAAAATGAGTAATTATCAGTCGTTGGTGCTGCTTCATTTGACTTTTGAATGCTCTGAACTGTTTACTAGAATCAAATTTTGGTTTCTACAGTCCCTCCCTTTAATTTCAGTTGTTTTATACTAGTCTTGTACCAAGACAAGGGAGTGTCATGCTTTCAGAATTATCATATGATATATTAATTGTCCAGGACTTAATTCTATAGTACTATCATCTTTGTCATTTTGGGTTCTACACTAAATATATTAAGTTGAAGTTTCCACTTGAAAGCAAAGCAAGCTTGGGTCACCAAATTTTGTGTTCCAAGCAGCATGTGCCAAGTGTTGAGCTTGAACGATTAACTTAGTGATTGGTCACCAAAATTGACAAGGCATTATACTTAATTTGGATGCTTGAAAGGTAGATCTTCAAGGTGCTAATGGGGGATGAAAACTTTCCATGTTGCTACTTTTGCTACCTTCCACTGTTTGTAGGATTCCTCTTACCATGCCATATGGCGACGTTGATATATTTAAATTTCCAAATTTCACATAATTTTGGCACTATTTAGTCTTTGCATGTGTGAAACCTTCCCCATTTCATTTTTAAATTTAGTTATATTTGAGTTGAATGATACAATTGTTTACAATATTCTGTTATTAGATAGATCAGAATATACGGTAAATTGCTATTTGGCTTCTATGACAATATTGATAGACCTCCACTCTACTTTCAAAATCCACATATACCCACTTACCGCTTCCCCAAAGCCTTTTTTTAAAATTTCATCACACTCTTTCCGTCCAACAAGGGTGGAAATCAACATGCAAAAATAAATGAGGTATGTGTAGGTCTTGAAACTAGAGGGGATTTCTGTGTTATTTGCAATTTATATTTTGAAAAAAAAAAAACCCATTTTTCTGGCACTTGAGAGATGACCTCATCAGCAATTTGATTCTTCAGAATGTTTGTACCATTTGGTACATAAAACTATGAATTTCTTCTTTTCCAAAAAAATTGGATTCATTCCAACTCCACCCTTGGGTGCTAACGTGACGGTGACACAATCTTTAAAGGATAAAAAATTATGTGCAGTCGCAACAAAATTATGCTCAGGTACTAGAGCAGTACAAAACAACTATAGAGTAATGAGTATCGATGTTGATAATGATTTCATTTTTTGACTGAAATGACTGAGAGGATTTTTGTCTTGTATTTTTTTTAAATCTATCGGGGCAGCAAGATGAATCCTATGTTTTTACTTTCCAGGTTTTGGACCCCTTAAGATCAATGATCTATGGTGCACATTTGGAGGATGCTTGCCATCTTGGTCAGTGATATAGTCGGATGAGACAAGCAGAGGCAGTGGTAAGTCAAGAGTTGGAACAGTTCCTTAATCTGTACACTTAACCAGTTACTTTGGCCCAATGGGAACTTCCAGTATTATCTGTGGCATGCAGTATGCAGTAAATTTGTGGGTTCTTATCTCTGTTTGGTGCATTCTAGTGGCCAGAAAGAAAAATTTGTATCCAAGGCTATGTTAAGTCATTATCTTGGTTCAACATTCATTTAGACATTGATATTCCTACTTTTAGTTCAGTATTATAACTTGATTTGGTTTTAAAATTTCAATCGTAGGGAGGAGACATCAAGAAGACAAGCACGTGTAAGAGCGGCCCCAACTGCAAAAAATGTTGTAGAACTGCTTGCTTTAGAAGCCAAGATGCAAGAACTAAAAGTGAACATGGCTGTTCTGGGTAAAGAAGCTGCAGCTGCATTGGCTGCTGTCGAGGCACAACAGCAAAGATTGACATTCTAGAGACTTGTTGCTATGGTATGCGCTTACACATGGACATGCTTGATAATATAAGCTTGGGTAAATCACTTTTCCCTTCTGTGATCCTCCCTTGTTATATCTACTCTCCCTTTCCTCAAACTGAAAAAAAAGCAACCTACAAAAAGAGTAGTATTGGCCAAATACCCTCAACCACAGAATTGATTTTTGATAATTGAAAATGCAACTTATGAAAACGTGTATTTCTTAATTTTTATGCCAATATTTACTTTTGTTAAATACAATAAACTAAAATATATCTATTTGTTGTTGTTATATTTATAATAGTGCTTATGTTGATTAACTATTTATATTTTGTACAATAAACATGTTATTGTTATGAATTAAATATTACCTTCTTGAAATAATTTTTCCTTTTTCTTGATTTAAAGAAGCGGTTAGGTTATGCATAGAGAAGTGCTTAGATAGTTATTTTGAGTTTTAATCATTTGAGGGTATATTGGTCAAAATGGGTAAAACTTGTAGCTTATCTTGCCCCATGTTTTGCTCTCAATACTACTATCTGGTATATGGTACAATTGGGTTAGACTTGAACATTGTTGGATCAAATTGTGGGTAGTTTTCATCTTTTCCTGATGCTATTTTTGTTATCCACAAGGCTTAGATCCTCGACCTTCCTTAAGGGGAATTGAATCTTTTTCACTTGGTCTTTTGCTTTTACTAGAGGGGGAGTAATATCTTCAAATAGAGTATAGGTTTGTATAATTAAGTTGATTGTCATGGAAGCAAGAATAATTTACCCTTTACGTAATTATTTCGGATTTTGATTATAGAGATTGTGTTTATGCTTTTGTAGGTTGAAGGGGAAAAAACTTTTCATACAAGAGTTGCAGCCATTCTTGGTGAAATTGAAGCTGAGGCGTGAACCAGATCTACTGATTTTTTTTTTTTCCAGGGATGTTTATATGATTTTATTACTTCCGTTTTGCTTCCTGTTCTTTGGGCTGTGTTCATTATCTAGCAATAAAATTTCTTCTCTAAACTTTTCAATGATGGAGAGGATTCATCTAGTAACTTGGAGGATTTAGTAACTGGTGAAGGAGAACAAAATTTGTCATTCTATCGAAAAATACGTGATAAGGAGGTAAAGGAAGCTCTTAAGAAAATGGCAAATGGTAGAGCTAACGGACCTGATTGTATATCTATCGAAGCGTGGAAATGTTTAGGTGAAGAAGGGGTGAGATGGTTAACTAAGTTATTTAATGTGATTTTACGGTCCAAGAAAATGCCTGATGAGTGGAGGAGAAGTACATTAATTCCTATTTATAAAAATAAAGGAGATATTCAGAATTGTACTAACTATAGAGGGACTAAACTCATGAGCCACACAATGAAATTGTGGGAGAAAGTAATTGAGCACAGGTTGAGATTGGAGACAAGTATTTCTGAGAATCAATTTGGTTTTATGCCAGGTAGATCAACTACAGAGGCGATTTATCTACTAAGGGGATTAATGGAAAAGTATCGTTGTAAAGATAAAGATCTACACATGGTTTTTATTGATTTGGAAAAAGCTTATGACCGTATACCAAGAGAAGTGCTTTGGAAAGCGTTGGAAAAAAGGGAGTACGGATTGCTTATATAAAGCCATACAAGATATGTATGAGGGGGTAAAAACTAGTATAAGAACGCCTAGTGGTCAAACAAAGGATTTTCCTATAAAGATTGGACTACATCAGGGATCATCTCTGAGTCCTTATTTGTTCAACTTGATTTTAAATGTTTTGACGGAACATATTCAAGAGGAAATCCCGAAATGTATGCTCTTTGCGGATGATATAGTTCTTATAGCAGAGACAAGAGAAGAGGTTAATTGCAAACTTGAGTTATGGAGGAGGACATTGGAGTCGAAAGGTTTTCGTCTGAGTAGAAGTAAGACGGAATATTTATATTGTAAATTTGGTAAAGGACTATTCGAAAATAATTTCGAAGTGAAATTGGGAGATCAAATTATACCTCAAGTGGAAAAGTTTAGATATTTGGGAGCCATTATTCAAAATGATGGCGAAATCAGTGGAGATATTTCACATAGAATTCAAGCTGGGTGGTTTAATTGGAGAAAAGCTAAAGGAGTTATTTGTGACCGTAGGGTGCCTAATAAACTTAAAGGAAAGTTTTATCGTACTGCTATCAGACCGGCAATGTTATATAGTAGTGAATGCTGGGCTCTAACGGGACAGCAAGAGCATAAAGTTGGAGTAGCAGAGATGAGAATGTTACGATGGATGTGCGGACATACACGTAAAGATAAAATTCGAAATGAGCACATACGTGAAAAAGTGAGGGTGGCACCTATTGAGGAAAAAATGGTAGAAAATCGGTTGAGATGGTTTGGGCATGTACAAAGAAGACCAAGGGAGGCACCAGTGAGAAGAGTGGAACATATAACTTTGAGTCCGATTAAGAGAGGTAGAGGAAGGCCTAAGAGAACACTCTTGGAAGTTGTTGAACGTGATCTCTTAATTAATAATATTTCTAAAAGCTTAATAAATGATAGAGCACAATGGCGTCTTGCAATCCATGTAGCCGACCCCACCTAGTGGGATAAAGGCTTGTTGTTGTTGTTGTTGTTGTATTGGAACGTTGTCTCAGATGGTTTCAGAGAGACAGAGGAATGAATCTGCGCCTCCAGTTGATTTCAATGGCTCTATCCGAACTACATATTTCTTGGCTGAAGCATGTTACATATGCCGTGTCTTGCTTCCTTTTTGCCTGTTGCAAGTTCCTACATGATATGTGATTCTTGTTTTAACTTTTGCATAAAATTTGTATATTAATTTATTGCTGAATAATATTAAATAATTTTATTATTATTATTATTATTATTATTATTATTACAAAGAAGCAGTGTCTTTAGGTAAGTGTCATGAGATCAGGAACGTGTCTAGAATTGAACTTCAAAACTTGGAAACCATGTTAGGACTGCTGAAGATTTTTAACAAATTTTTTTTTTATAGTATTATGACAATTTTCAACTTTGTCCTAAGTTACATTTTGTCGCCAAAAACTATTCTAATTTAATTTCCATTATGAAGTTATCTCAGGTTTTAAACATTAGTTTTAAGCATGATTTATATATTTATATTTTTATGTATAATCTGACATCTTCTAGACAAGGATATCTCTCCCAGGGCTTTTTTAAATTTACATGGAATTTAACTGAGACCATGTATTTCAGTGACCAATTTTTATTCTTAAAAAATAAATAAAATTTTTATTTGGTTTCTTAAAATATATAATTTATTATACTAACATGGGATTTGCATGATGCGTTTGGATTGAATAAGTTGTTTTCTATCTTGTGCAATGTGAATAGTGCAATTTCATATTTTTATATTTTATTTTATTAATGTTGATATTTATTTCAGCGTCTCAAATTTATTATTTAGTTTTATTTATCTTTTTTTTTGGGTTAAATGGTCAAATGATCAATTAAAGCCAATAAAAATTACAACTCATTAGTTCGTAAAGGTAAAGAAAAGAAAAGAAAACAAAGAATACAATGTTAACTGATATGTTTCACCAATACTAAGCTTAAAGGAACAGAGCATATGTTGAATATCTTATAGAATAATACTTTCTTATTGATGAGATTGGAAAAGAAAGAAGTCTCTATTATGCTCATGCCCTAAAATAAGGTGTGACCGGCATGCAAAACCTGAACTCTTTAAATTTTAATTTAAAAAAAATTTTAATTTGATATTTTAAATTCTTTAGTAATGGGATTAAAAATTCTTATCATTCTTTTCACATAAACAAAAAGAATCATAAAAAATTAACAAAATTTTCCAAAATTTTTACAACAAAAAATTTATAACAGGTCAACAACAAAGAGTTACACTCCATGCCAATATAACAATTTCCAATGCATGTTAGCTAATTTCAGTAGTTAATATTTTAGCCAACAAATTACGTGTACACATATTTAAACTAAAAATAAAGATATATCAGTTTTACATCATAATTATATCTCACCAATGTTAGCTAGTTTCAGAATTATATCCAACCAATTTCATCCAAAATGTCAGCTAATTTTAGTAGTTAGCATTTTAACTATCCTTAAATTTCCAGGAGACTAGTGATACATGCACATTTTCACAATTAATGCTATTCAAATTAAGCAGTCCGATCTAAAGTTGGGATTAAAAGAACATGAAGTTGTCCATGGATTACACAACGGAAAAAAACTCATTTCTAAAGTTTGATTCTTGGTTTATTCAATTACATTAATAATATTCCCAACTCATGTTAGATGGTCTCAGTAGTAATCACATGTGCACACATTTAAACCAGAAATAAATATATATCAATATTATATCTCATGAATGTTAGCTAATTTCATAATTATATCCAACCAATTTTATCAAAAATGTTAGCTAATTTCCTTGTACATCTTGCTTTCCTTTGTAGACAAAAGGAGGCAGTTTTCTCTAAGCTCCACATCCCATTTTTTTAGGAGTTGAGGCAAGGGAGGGGCAAATATGGACCATCAAGATTTTTTAATTTTATTTTTAAATTTATATTTATTAAAATAAAAAATATATACAAATTATAAAAATTTAATAAATTTGCTTATCAATTTAGACAGTTTAAATTTAATATAGATAGTCCAAATTTAATATTAAAATTTTTTGATAAGTTAATTGCTCTATCTAAAGCATATCTGTACTCTCCAAGTATATCTAAAAAATTAATTTAAATTTTTAATATTAAATTTAAATCATTCATATTAAATTTGAATTGTCATATTGATGAGTATATCTATTAAAATTTTTTATAATTTTTATATGTTTTATTTTAATAAATATAAATTTAAAAATGTGAGGGAGGGGCAAAGGAGGCCAACTCTATTTTTTTAGGTCATTTTCTGCAATTTGTTCCTAAATTTCCTCCACTTCCACCTTTTTAAAAGGCAATGCATTAAGTCGTCCTATCAACCACATGTGTTCTAGTAAACTTGAGTTGAGCTTGGGCAAGAGTTAAATTTTAGCCCAAATAATTTAACTTCCTCTATTCTAGACGCTTGAGGTGGGCTTAGAGCCTAAAGATATATTTTAGTCCAAATAGTGCCGGAGAGTAAGAGAACTAATGGATGGTGGTCGCCTCATTTCTTCAATTGTATATATAATATGAATTCTTTGTAGAAAAATTGAATAATCCACATACTTTTGTTTAATTAAAAATAGCTAAATTATTTAACTTAGCTAACAATGAAATTGAAAAGTCGATATGCTGGCAGTAAAACGATATTGTAAATATATTATATTTGCAATTTTGTTTGGTCATCGTTGACTTGCCCCTTCTGATCATGAACGCACAACTTATAAGCAACAACAAAACAACAATAACAAGTCTATTCTACTAGGTGAGATCAGCTATATAGATGATACAATGTCATTGTGTTCTATCATTTATCAAGTTTTTAGAAATGTTATTAATTAAGAAATCATTTACCTCCTCTACCTCTCTTGACAAAATTTAAAGTTATTTGTTCTACTCTCCTCTCAGATGTCTTTTATGATCTTCTTTGTATATGTTCAAATCATCTAAAATAATTTTTTATTATTTTTCTTTCAATATGTGCGACTCTCACTTTTTCCTGTATGCGCACAAGTTATAAGCAAAATCATAAATTAAATTTTCTCATTGAAGCCCACTAATGCACATTTTTCCTATAACTTACTCTTTAACCACGTCAATTAAACAATAAATTAAACCCCAATGCTTAATTTGGTTAAATCCATACATTTTGTTTAATTAAAACTGGCTACTTCATTTAAGATAAATATGTAAGAAATTATCCGGCGGGTGGGGGGAAGGCGTTTTGTTGATATTTTGGCGTACACATTGAGATTGTAAAAGTGTCTTTTCAATATATTGAATGTTTTTGTTTAGTCGTTACGATTGAATTGTCCTTTCTTATACTACAATAAGTCAATATAAAGAAAAATCGTACGCCTCGATCACCCAATATCACGAGTG